CTGATGGTATCTGTATCTATATAAAAGGACAAGGGAATAAAATTTGTTTGTATGAAATTAACTGATTGTTATAGGGAGGAAAATTTTAAGAGATTTTTAGTAACTATTTTTACTGGGCCTCAATCTAAGTATATTAGGGTCTCATCCTTTCAAAGCTACCTTTAAGGCTGCATTCATAAGCTCTAGCATAATGAGAAGTTGTCACTTAGTCCTGGTGTGCAGAGGTGAGCTGTATAATGAAATGATTTAAAGAGCAGGCTATAGAAACAGAATACATGGGACATCTGAGAGTCCAAAGAGATCAAAAAGGTGAGAGTTCACAGGACACAGCACTGTATGTGAGAGAGTTAAATAGGAAAGGTAATCTGCAGATAATCAAAAAATCCCCTTGAATATTCGGCAGAGTACTGATCAGTGTGTGTGTGTGTGTGTGTGTGTGTGTGTGTGTGTTTAAACTATCCAAAGCCAGAGAAGGAACAATCCAAAAGGTTTAGAGGCAACAGTACTCAGTATTTACATAGGATCTGGAATCATACCAGTTCCCACTAGCCATACTATGAAACCTCATAATTTATAAGGTTTGGTTAGATTACTTAGAAGGATCTTTCATCTGCAGTTGGGAGTAATTAGCCATAAACTAAATATCATGCCTAATAATATTTAAAAGCAAGATACAAACAGATAAAACTGTTTCCACGTAACTTACTGGCAACCCAGAAAAAAAAAAAAAACTCAATAATTTTTTTAGGAATAAAAAACTTGTAGTTCCACAATGTGTGGAATAAAATAAAAATTACCAGGGAGCCAAAGAAGCTGAACAATATGATGATAACGAGGAAGGAAATCAGTCAATCAAAATGGATCCAGTGTTAGAGTTACCGCACAAGGACATTAAAACAGTTACTATAACTGCATTCCATTTGTTTAAAAAAGTTAAGTACAGACATGGAGGATCTAAAAAAAGATCAATTGAATTTAACTTCTACGAATGAACACCACAATGTCTTAGATGAAATATACAATGGATAACATTTATAGAAGAATAGACACTGCGGAAGGAAAGATTAGTGAACTTGAGTTGATGGTAAGAGAAACTATGCAAAGGAAACACAAGGAGAAAAGAGTGTCAGTGGGCAGTGTTGCAATGTCAATGACTTTAGGTATCTATAATTGGAGTCTCTGAAGGAGAAAAGAGGGAAGTGGGGAGGTAAAACATTTGTATACAATGTTGCACTAATATTTTAATAATCATAAATAATGGCAATAAATTATCTAATTTTGGTGAAAACTATAAACCTACAATTCCAAGAGCCTTGACAAAACACAAACACAAGAAAGATGAAGAAAACTAAACCATGACAAATTAACAAATTTCTTAAATCTAGTGATAAAACAAAATATGAAAGTCATTAGAGTGTAAGTCTTTAAATAGAGAGGAGTGAAGACTGTTTAACAGTAGATTTCTCAGAGAAACAGCAGAAGTGAGGAGACCTGCTGAAAGTATTGAAAGAAGAAAACTGTCAGCCTAGAAGTCTACACTTAAACCTAACCATATGAATATTTACAATGAATGCAAATAGCATATACACCCCAATTAAAAAGGCAGAAAATATCAGAGTGAATGAAAAATTGAGATCCAAATATATTTTACCGCCAAGAGACTCATTTTAAATATAAAGATACAAGTAGATTAAAAATTAAAGGGTGGGAAAATGTATACTATGCTAACACTAATCTAAAGGAAACTGGAGTGGCTATATTTATACTAGACAAACTAGGATTTCAAACCAAAAATTATCTTCAGGGAGAAAGAAACTCATTTAATAATTTGAAAGGAGTCAATTCATTATGAGTATACAGCAATCCTAAACATTTGCTTATGTACCTAAAAACAGAACTTCAACATACATCAAGTAGACACTGTTAGAACTATAAGGAGAAATAGATAAATCCACAATTACAGTTCAAGATTTCAATACTTCTCTCTCAATCATTGACAGAACAAGCAGACAAAAAATCAGCAAGAATGTAGAAGACTTGAGCAACACTCTCAACCAACTTGACCTAATTAATATTTATAAAACACTATCCAAGAATGGTAAGATATGTATTCTTTTCAAGTGCACATGGAACATTACCCAGGATAGACCATATTCTGGTCCATAAAACCAATCTCAATCAATATAAAGGGATTCAAGTCATGCAAAGTATGTCCTCTGATCACAATGGAAATAAATTAGAAATAAGAAAAATAGCTCTAGAAAATCCTCAAATGTTGGAAACGAAATAACACATTTCTAAAATAGCCTATGGCTCAAAGAAGAAAGCAAAAAGAATATTAGGTACAATTTTGAACTTAATGAAAATGAAAACACAGCATTCCAAAACATGTGGAATGTTTGGCAACATCCTGCATATTTAAAGGTTGAATCCTTCTATCAGAAAATAAGATGTGTTTCAAATCAATAATCTTAGCTTTCACTATAGGAAACAAAAGAAAAGAAAGCAAAACAAAGGCAAATTAAATACAGAATAAGAAGGAAATAAATAATAAATATCAGAGCAGAAATAGATGAATTAGAAAACAGAAAAATGAATGGTAAGTAAGTACAACAAAAGATGCTCCACATCATTAGTTATTAGGGAAATGCAAATTAAAATCACCTACTAGAATGAGTCAAATTAAAGACACTGTGCATGCCAAGGATTGACCAGGATGTGGAGCAACTAGGACTCTCACACACTGCTAATGGGAATGTAAAATGCACAACTACTTTGGAAAATAGTTTGGAAATTTCTTAAAAAGATACATACACACTTACCGTATGAGCCTTCCATTACACTCATAGGTATTTACGCAAGGAAAATGAAAGCATATGTTCATACAAAGCTATGGACGTGAATGCTCATAGCAAGTAGCTTTATTTGTAATAGTCAGCGACTGGAAACTACTCAAATATCCATCAACAGATGAAAGGACTAATTTTTGCTATATCCATAAAAGAAATCATCTCAGGAATAAAAAAAATTAACTCTATGTGCTAAAAGATGGCTGAATCTCGAAACAACTACGACAAGTGAATGAAGCCAGACCTGCCCCCCAAAGGATGTACTGTATAAATAATTGCATTAATATTAAACTCTATCTATTGCAAACTAATCTATGGTGACAGAAAGCAGATCAATTGCCTGCAGACAGGGAGAAGTAGTCAGGGAGGGGCAGGGAGAAGGTATTATGAAGGTGCTAGAGAAAAATTTGCAGCTGATTAATTAACAGCTAATTATTATTATAATTATTAATTATAATTAGTTAATTTTCTTGATGGTATTGATTGTTTCACAGGGGTATACATTTGTTAAACTTATCAAATTGTGCACTTTAAATATGTATCATTTATTTTATGTCAATTATACCTCAGTAAATCTGTTAATAGTTTCTTTAAGTATACATAGAATATTTAGCCTCTCTGTTTCAGTCTCCTTATCTGTAAAGTGGGTATAATATCAGCCCTAACTTTCACGGTACTTACCTGTTGAAACCTGTTGCCATTGAGTCTATTCCAACTCATAGCGACCCTACAGGACAGAGTAGAACTGCCCCATAGGGTTTCCAAGCAGAGCTGGTGGATTCGAACTGCCCACCTTTTGGTTAGCCGTAGCACTTAATCACTATGCCACCAGGGTTTCCCTGCAGTACTTAGCACGGAGAAAACAATTAATGACGTTCATCATTACTGTCTTCTGTTGCTCTTCTCTGCTCTCTTTTCTAAAATCAAGCCCTAAGTTTTGCTGAATCTATTAGAATATGAGAATGTCCTGGGAATGTATGAAAAAATGTGATACATGAGTGATCATAGTGATAACTAAGGAATATATCCACAAATATGCATATTATTGGGCCAGAGACTTACTGGTTAGGTAAGAGAAGGGATCCGTCTTCCCACTGCCAGGACCCATTTGTTGGAATTCGCACAAGGCCCATCCAGTGATATGACTTCACCAGTTTGAAGAAATCCTGTTTGAAACCACAAATAAACCATAACTAGAGCCAGTGCTCAAATTTAGGTAAACACAAGGACATAATCATTTAACTGTTTCATCTTACGCAGGCGGAAACTGCTCTGAGCCCTAACTAGTCTAATTCCCACGGAGGCAGCACATGCACAATACCTGCAATCCCCGTGCTTTCTTACTTTTAACACATAACAGTTTGGCTTCCTGTTAAAGTGTCTATCCATTTTCTATACCATAAATCATAAAACCTTTAAAAATAGATTGGAGGCTATAGGGATTTAATGATTCCCATAATTGCATGAAGTATAGACTTATATTTTCAAAACATATGCAATTGATTCGCATTATTTTGGGGGCTACATTCTATAAAGTTGCCACGAACACTGAGTCAGTGAATACTTAACCATTGCTGTTAGCGGAGATACAGAGTTAGATGCCTGCAAACCTCTGGTCACAACGATTTTGTCAATCCATCAAGACAAAACCTTATTTTATGTGTGTTTATGTTTAAAGAGCAGATCTGTCTTAGAAGAAGTACAGCCAGAATGCTCCTTAGAAATGAAGATGGCAAGACTTCATCTCACTTACTTGGACATGTTATCAGGAGAGGCCAGTCCCT